TCCATTGCTATATCCTCATTGAACCTATGCGGGGTATCCTCCACTCAAACCAGGGTGCAGAATGAGAGTGAAAATTTTTTTTAGCCATAAATATGATAAAGAGAGATAGGACCCACCACCAGCAACACAAATAATAATAGATTGAGACAAATGGCAGGTCACACTTCGTGTATCACAGCTATTATATCCCAGAGCTTCTGAAACTAGACAAATAATGTCTTTGATTCTTTTTGGAAATTCTCATTCAGATATGAAGTACAGCAAATATAAATCCTCTAACAGTGAAGGATAAAACCCTCATTCCCTTGAGAAAAATGATGTCATCATCTCACTTATGTAAAAGCAGAATAGGTAGTATAGAATTGCAGTAAGCTAAATTTAAGAGTTCCATTTTCAAAATATCTTTTTCAATGGACTCCATGTTAACAATCTAAAATTCTATATTATCTATTCCATTATGTTAACCTTCATATCTACCCTGCTACCATTTAAACTGAAAATGTACCTAGAAGAGAAATAACATCACTAATATGTTAATATGACTGAAATTTTTACAGAAGCAGGTAGGCAGCAAAGGGGATAGAGAACTTGCCCTAGAGTTAGGAACACTTGAGTTCAAACCCAGCCTCAAACTTTTACTAGCTATATGAACCTGAACAAGTGACTTAATCTTTTTCAGCTTCCTCATATATAAATAGAGTTTCCTCATGTATAAATAGAGGGAGTAATAATGCCCACCTCCAAGAATTTTTGTAAGGCTAACATGGAATATTTATAAAGTGCTTTGAAAATCTTAACACATTATATAAATATTAGGTATCATTATCACCATCATCACCATCATCATTATAAAAGATGGCTATAAAAAGAGATTTTATTAAATATGGAAACTAGTTTGCAGGTAAGCAATTGTTGATGATTTTATCAGTCTGCTTTGTTTGTTTGTTTCTAAAAACCACCCTGTATGATTCCCAACCCCCTTTCCCTAATCCTTGGACCCTACCTTTCTTTCAGATATATTAAAAATCAATCTATAAAATCATCTCCAATCACCTTCTCCCAGCCTTATTCCTCATTATAGATTTGTGCTCACTGCACTTAGGCTGAGCAGCTCTCCCAGAAGGGTCACCTTATTAAGTGCTAATGACACTTCTTCACAGAGTACTTGGAGTACTAAGGCACTACAGTCAGTACTACAGTACTAAGGCAAATTAAGTCAGCAGAGTTGTTCCTTTTCATGATCATAACCTTTCTTCCTCTTTCATTTACTAATAATAGTTTTAGGATGGACTATCATAGCTCTCTGCAGGTCTGCTTACTCCTCAAGTTGGTTTGCACTGGTTTGTTGTACAAAGTAACATTGCTCATAGTAGTTGTTCTTTTCCCCAATATTTTGCAGATGAACTTGCCTCCTATCTCTAAACTAGTGCACCCTTGGCTGCTATGTCCCTGGGCTTGACAAGGAGATTCAGTGTTTTCTGGCTAAAATTTGTGTTTGTTTGAGATCAAGATCTACTGACTGAGCCATGTGTGTTCTTCCTCATCTCTATAAAATGTGCATGAGAATGATCTATATACCCAATAAAGGTATCCTTAATGAAAAATGAAAAGGATTCAAACAGGCTTTCATGGGCAAATTTCTATAGCAGACCACATATTTATAGTTATAAATCCACAAATATTAGATCCTGCTGTGTTTATATTTTATTGATCTAACAAAAAGTATTTAAGCTAATAAAACAAAGGGTATCCTTGACAGAATAGTGCAGGCAATGTATTTCCATACCTACATCAAAATCATACAAAACATTATGACAAGTGTGACTGTAAAAGTCGGTTCTCTCAGTAACCTTCCAGTGAATAAAATCCATCAAACAAGGTGTTAAGCAAGATGTATGTTCACCTAAGGTGTTAGCTGGTATCACAGAAGATACTCTGTGTTAGTTTCAAGCAAAGAGGATTTCTTCTTGATAAATTATTAATAAAGTATGGATTAATTGCATTAAGCTGCACAGCACTGCAAAGCCAACTCTGAAATGCACAGCAATTTAATAAATATCAATTTAAATCTGTTTGCTAGGGGAAAAAGTGTATGTTACCCAGACTATGATATGCAGCTGGACCAGAAAACTAGTTCAAAACTATATGAACCTTGAACAGAATAATCTAAAAATGGAATGGGCTGCCTCAGAAGAGTGAATTCTCTGATCTTTGAGGTTTTCAAGCAGCAGGGTATATGACCCCTAGATATGTTATAATGGGGATTCCTTTCAGGTATGGGTTAGACTTGCTGGACTCAGAGATTCTTTCCAACTCTCCAATTCTGAAATTTTTATCAGGTGTTACATGCCAATTTAATATAGAGTGAATGAAATCCTAGAACTCTCAAATCCGTAGGGCTCCTCCTTCATAAAATGACTTCTATTGTCTTACCTCATGGTCCATCACTGTTCTACGTCTCCATGTAACCACTCCTACTCATATCTTGTGAGTTCCATTGTTGTGGTTCTCCAGTTCTGGGACCTGATCTCCCTTTCAAGACCAAGATAAAAAGCAAGTATATGAATTTGACAGAATCATTAATTTGCTAGCCTGACATTTCTTCGGTGTATGTGTATGTGTGTATTATGCTCATCCATTTAAAGGCATCCTTCAATTCTCTGTAAATTCACTGTAGCTATACGGCTCCCATTTCTCTCCATGACAATGTTCATCTTCAGATGTAGGTGGACTGGCATACTCTTTAACTTGTAAGTCAAGAATCTCTTCTCTCCTCTCAAACACTTAACCATTCACCTCCCTTTCCTTATAAAGTCTCTGTAAAAAAAAAACTGTGTAAAAATTGAGTTAGCTATTTTTACTTAACTTACTGTGCAGACTTCCTAAATTCTTCATGTAGTCCAAGGTATGTGTTGTCTGAGTACCTCCCTCAATTTTGACCTTCCTAAAACAACCCACATAGGTCTACAGAGTGTATTAAGTCAGAATATACTAAAAACACTAAATACCAAACCCCTATTGAAGTTTCTTTTATCAGACCAACTAGAAAAATACAAGTTTAAAGCAAAAGACATTTAACTAAATAACACATCCAAACGAATAAAAAGGAAAATCTTTCTTCATCCCTCCATATACAAAAGGCAGCATTCATTCTCCCACAGGTTTCCAGATGAAACAAAATTTCTATTTCCGTATTTTGTCTAGTTCTTATCCCCTTCTTTTGCCCATAGGAGAGGGATCCAGATAAATTTAAAGGGAGTTTTCCCAGTTCTCCATTTGCTCTCCTGCCTCTCCAACAGACGTGAGAGTGGGGACAATTCAATGATGCATGGTAGGAAATGTGAAGTTCCTAAAATTTTCTGGTAATCTCAGTGCCAGAATTGTGAAGGACTGAAGCTAGCAGCATGATTCTTCTGGATGAGAAACACATCTGAGGGAAGAAGCTTCCCAGTGTCATACTTAGCCAGGATAAACTGCATTTGCATGACACAGGTATAACTAAGGGGTAAGCCTCCCAGGAGTAGAACCACATCTTATATTTCACTATTTGAGGACTATTGATTCCTGTAAAATCTACTCTTGCCCAAAAGGGATGAGCAGTGTAAGATGTAAACCTTTTTCATTCTCTACTTTTTCTTCAGCTCATTTTAGAAAATCCCCCATGCTCCTGGGAATGTTCTTATATTACAATTCCTGTGTACTGTCCTCAGGACCTGACTTGAGTATCCTCTCCCAAAGACCACAGATCTCTGAAGCAAAGCCTTATGAAATGAATAGTATAGATACTTTGTGCTTGAGTCTCTTTTATATACATTTTTTCATTTATTTTAGTTTATTCTTTAACGTATCTTGGTCCACAGACGTGTGACTTTCAAGTCTGTTGTCCAGCTTCTTAGTGTTCATTTCAATTTTGTTTTTCTTTTATTTTCAACTCTTTGAGGTCAAGGACTTTGCCAGTTTAGTTTGAGATATAAATTGGTTAGTGGATGCCATGTGTTCATTTAAAAATGCAAATTGAATTTTAGTAATTTATCAAATTGGTTGTACAGTAGATAAAGCACTGAGCCTAGAGTCAGGAAGACCTGAGTTAAAATCTAGTCTCAGACACTTAGAAGCTGTATGACCCTGGGCAAGTCACTTAACCCTGTTTGCCTCAGTTTCCTTATCTGTAAAATGAATTGGAAAAGGAAACAACAAACCACTCCAGTATCTTGGCTAAGAAAATCCCAAATGGGATCACGAAGCATCTGACAGGACTTAAATGACTGAACAACAACAATTGATGAAATTAAAATTAGATGTAGGCCAGAGAAATAATGTTTCCAGGCAAAGAAATAAAATGTGGAATTGATAGACTATAACATTTTGGACTTGGGTTCTTTGGGATACATTTCCTTTTTGTTTTCTTCTTTGTACGGTTCCAAGCTGAATTTTGTATTGAAAGTCAAATGATTAGTTCTGTATTATCCAAAACTTTATAATCTTAGTTGGAACAATGCAGTCTCTACTTAACTATTTGAAATTTGAGTTTCAGAGGCCTAGAGGTTGAATATTTTCAATAGATAACTTTTTACCTTTGTATCCCTGTTCTTTTCTTTTAAAAAAGATCATAGCTAATTAACATTCATCAGATAATTAAGATGTTTCTAAAATGTTTATTTCCTTTTTTTTCCCCTTGACTTATAGGTAAGAGTTCTTCTGAACTAGAAGGAAACAGATCCTAGAAATTCCTGTTGTGGTTGTTTCTTCATGATTAATATTGTATGTGTTGAGTAAATTCAGGGATATTTCTTTAAGTGTATTGTTGTAGAAGTAGAGAACAACAAAATGTAAAGAATAGAAAAAAGCTGCTGCTGTTACTTTATTGTTCTTTGTAAACAAACAAAAATAGATTTAATAGATTCCTACTGCTATAGTTAATGTTATTGTTACTTTGACAACTCTAATGGAAACATTTTTAATCAATGGTCCTTTTTCTTTGGCTCTTATGTCTTTCACAGGACTAGAAAAAGGAAGTCAATACAGTTTCCAAGTGGCAGCCATGACAGTCAATGGTACTGGTCCTTCCTCAGACTGGTATACAGCTGAGACACCAGAGAACGATCTTGATGGTAATTACATTTTCCTCCCCAAAATGATCTTGCCTTAACTTTTAGCCTATGATCAAAAGGGGAGAAATCCCAAATTAAAGAATAGGACTTATTCCTACATTTTCTGGAACACATCGTTATCCTGCTCATATTTACATAGCACATACCCCTAAAAATAGAAAATGGTATATGCGTGGTTGATGATGATAATCCTAAGATGGACTTGTTCTCCCAGAGAAGAGGATAGGCAGTATCAATTCCCTTAAAATGATCTCTTTCTAGCCTTTTTCTTATAATTATTGCTATGATTTGCAATAATAATGAAGAAATTTGATTGTTTTGGAAATTCAATGGTCTTATAAGAAGTCAAGCATTTCCTGGACCATTCGTAGGATATTGATATGTAATCACTGGCATGTTCATGATATTGCCATTAGTAATATGTACTACTATTCAATTATGTCTTAGATCTAGCATCTTATCAATAAACCAACCTATCTCATTCATGTTAATCATGGTTGTCTTGGGGTATTCATGTGTAGAAGTGAAGTATTCAAGTAGGTAAAGGAATCTATGTTAATTAATTAATTAAGGGTAGCAGAACATGGAAGCTTTCAAATGACAGCATGAAATGCTGTCAAAATTAACAATGTGACCAAAAATGAAATAGATATTTTTGAGAGTGACTGAGATTTCTAAAAAAAAGTGGAAAGAAGAATGAAACAAGAAGAAGACAAAAGACTTTTAAGGATTTGGATTTTTAAAAAGTACTTGAATAGAATTAAAAAATAAGATCAAATTAAATATTCTAATTAGTTGAAATATTCTAATTAATTGAAAATGGGAGACATTTGGCAAAGTAGGACAGAAGGAAAACATGCACTCCTAAACACAGACAAAAACTAAGACAACATAGTAAGAAAAGAATGTGGTTAAAAAAATACCTTGGGGCAGCTAGGTGGCACAGTGGATAGAGCACCGGCCCTGGGTTCAGGAGGACCTGAGTTCAAATCCGGCCTCAGGCACATAACACTTACTAGCTGTGTGACCCTGGGCAAGTCACTTAACCCCATTGCCTAGCCAAAAATAACAAAAACAAAAACAAAACGAACATAAAAAAAATACCTCATGGCAATAAGAAATTATAAATCTAGAGTAGTACCTGACTAAGAGGGAAACATAGATCTAAAAGCTGCCTGAAATGATAATATAGTCTCAATCTTCAATCCCTGGAGGAAGCAAGAAATTCTATAATATCTCCAGCCAGTGGCCCTACAGTTTTTATTCAAATCCCTCCAGTGGTGATCATCTCACAATATCATAGAGCAGTCTGTTACATTAATGGACATCACTAATTTTTAGCAAGGATTTTTTAAATTACATTAACAATTTCTTGTAAGCATTCATTTAACATGTGTTTATTGAGTACTGATTGTTCTTTGATTATTCTAGGTTCCTGAGATTGAAAGGCATAAAGGAAAAGTATCTGCACTGTGTCTATCTTTTTTATTTGCAGTACTTGGCATGCTGCTTTGCGTACAACCAGGGCTTTAATAAACATCTGTTGATTGCTATTGACCCCAAACCTATCCCTCTATAACTACCAACCATTGTTGCTAGTCTGCCTTTTGGGGTCAGGCAGAATAAGTAAGATCCATCTTCCATGTGACAAATCTTCACACATTTGAAGAAACTAACAAATTCTAAGTCTTCTCTAGCCTAAACACACTGAGATGAATGGATGTGTGTAGGGGCTGAGTGGGCTACTCATAAGGGGATATAGTTGAATGATTCAGCTCGGTGAAGAAAGAACCCAACTTTTTTCCCTTCTCTGTGAGAATACAAATTAATTCTTCTCAATTATAAAGTAAGAGGGCCATTAGAGTACAAGGTGTACAGTCTGTTATGGTACTGATCCATTCTCAAATATGACTTGGCTAAAATCAGAGTTGAAATAATGGTGACAAACCTGAGGCAGGTAACAAAGATTATATTGTAAGTAGGAAGAGCTCTAAGATGATTCCATTATAGCTTCTGTTAATGAAGCCTAAGATCACATTAGCTACTTTGACTGAGTTGTCATAGTCAACTTAGGCTGAGCCTGTAATTTACTAAAATTTCCAGATCTTTTTCATATTGAATGCTTTTGAGCCACCTCTCTCTCATCTCAGATGTTTGCAGTTTTTTTAACACAAGATTATGACTTTAATTACTCTTGACATTTTTTTTTCTGGCTAGCTTTGGGCCATTGTTCTTTCCTTTTTTGATGCCAATTCTAAATTTGGTGTTTTAGCTATCACTCCCAATTGTGTATCACCTAGAAATTTCATGATCAAATCATCCATGCCTCCATTTTAATCATCAATTGAAGCAAACAAAGAAACAAAAACTTTAAAATGAAGATGTCTGAGGAGAACTCCCTAGAATATCCCATTACAATATTTTTTTCCAAATTGATATCAAGCCATCAGTTATGTTAATAATACTTTCTGAGCTTCATTATGAGCTATTTTAATGAAATAAAAACCTTGAAGGATGGTTACAATTTTGACAGGCAGAGAGAGTGGGAAGGTTGGGAGGGAGTAGGGTGAGTAGCCAGGGAAGAGTATGGTATAGCACCTATAGACATCTTTAACAAATATTAGTTGTTAGTGACTGTTTTTATCCTCCTTTAATTCTGCTTTCTTCCTTTTTGCATTTCCCCTTTTTTCAACTCGTCTCTTTTTGTGACTTACATATCCTTCCATACCTCAAGTGCTTTGCCATTTGCACATTTTCCCTTTTCTTTCATTTTCTGATTTGAAGTGGCAAATGGATTCTCATCCATGCCCAAATGAGTGCTTAATGTACTGAACGGTATCTATCAACATAAAAAAAAAAGTTAAAATGAAATTTGCCACATGGGCAAGATAGTGAAGTTGATAGCTCACAAGTAAGGTTGATAGCACAAATAATATTGAAGACATTGCATAGGTAAAGGAAGTGGGAAAGTTTATAAAGTAAATGATAACATATGAAAAGGGAAAATATGACTACTTACCATGCATACCATGTATGGCAAAGGTCTACTTGTCCAGCAAAACAGACCTACTTTATAGAATAAAAACCTGCTCTCTTAGAAATGTGAATAAAATTTGAATTTCATTGATGATGAATCTTCACTGCCTACTCAAGTTATTTTTCCCTGCTTCCACTAACTTAACTTATTGAACTGGCTTCATTTTCCCCTTCTTTCTGATTGCTTACTCTTGAAAGCTTAAAAAAAAGTTGCCACCACTGACGTCAAGATCCTATTATTTGGACATGCTTGATGTATGATCCTAGTAGTAGTTGGACTAGAGCAAACTTATTAGTCTGGGAAGATTCTCCAGTAACCACTGGCCCTTCCCTTAAATCCCAAGTTCTTGTTTAATATCTTCCTTCTAACCCCTTAGAAAGAAAGAAATGAATACTGTTCCTATCCATCTCCTTCAGGGTGTACCAGGTAACATGATGTGGTGGAAAGTACATCAAACATGAAGTCACAGGACTTCAAATTTAATCTGGGTACCACCACTTAATTGCCTTATCTGGAAAATTATGAGATTGGGATAGATAACCATTTACCTTCCAGCTCTATATCTTTGATTAATGTGAAATATTCCTTCAAGCTAAGCATATTTCTTGTTTGTTTTTTTTTTATTTCTAGTTAATTCTTTAGTTGATCCATTTTAATCTTCAAGTTTCAAGATAAAAGTATTTCTTTTTATTCACATTTTTAGAAAAGCAAAAATGGGTTCTGCTGGGATTTCTCCCCATAGAATTCCTCTACATCCTTGTGAACTACAGAGGAAGGCACTGACCTTGGCAACTAAGTGAACTATATGAATAAAAATTATTCTGCACTGAAACTGACCTAAAGCATTATAATTCTGGGCATGCATTTTTTTCATAACACTTTTCTGCCACTGAGGCTCTTTACAAACCCCAAGGGAGTCATCTACTTATTACTATGGCTACCCAGAGTCCTGCAGGAGTCAGCTAAATAAAAGTTGTGCTCTCAAAAGTTGTGCAGTTCTTTGCTGCATTTTCTTCTTCTCCTATGGCCTCTCTAGGTCCTTTTGAATGTCCTCTTTGGCAAATGCCATGGAAAGATAAGCTGTATCATTCAGGAGTCTCCCCTAATCCCTATGTATTGGCCTTTTAACTATGATTAGTCAAAGCAGTTTTAAATCTAAATATCACATCTTATTCATGGTTCCCTAGAAAATTTGCATATTGTTACTGACAATTGGGAAGTTTTAAAATATTTATTTTGTGCTCTAAAATTTTTAGCTCTTCAAAAAGTTGAAAGCTTAGTTTCCCCTGAAGGATCTTATTTAAATAGCTTCAAGGAAGGTATAAGAGAATGTATGATTGATTTTGGAAGATATGCTCCAGGAAAATGGGTTTGGAGTCACCTGTCATGTCTCTTTTTAAGTAAACAGATCAAAACTGTTGTACACAATCAGTTGTGATGTAGCTTAACTGAAGCTCTCTATTAGTCTAGGACAACATGACAAGTTAAATTTGACTGGTGAGGTTTTTGAAAATGTTGCAGTGATGGCAAACCTTTGGGAATAGATGGATTTGTCCCTAATCTAGTGAAATTCCCACACCCATATCAGTAGAAATGGTAATGATTCTTATTAGGGTATTCAGTTACCTAGTGTGAAAAGCCTCTTTGTGTAAGTTCATTTCTTCTGAAACACAAAATGGTAATATATCCCTGAGATTTGTAAACTCTATATAGATGGTTCATTTTCTATGAACATGAATTTCAATAGAAGTCCAGTACAGATGAGTTACTGAATATTGATGAAATACAAAAAAAAGATGTGCCCACCCAGAAAGAAAGCATGCTGCATAGTGAAACTGGCATAGGTATTCCCATGTTTTGTACTCAAGAACAGCAAGCAATGATGAGAGAGCATGAGAAAATGTAAAATGCCAAGTAAATATATCCTGGGGAAGAATCAAAGGACATGTGAAGTAAAGTTTTA